CAGCCTCATTCTACAACAGTGGCATCGTATAGCATTTGTCCCTTTGTGACTGAGATAACCTCACTCAGCATAATGTCCTCCAGGGTCACCCATTTTGAATAATATTGCATGAGTTCCGTTGTGCAGATATACCACAGCTTCTCTACCCATTTGTTTGTTGATGGGCATTTAGGTTGTTTCCAACTCCTTGCTATTGTAAACAAAGCTGCGATAAACATGGGTTTTGTACCCTCATGCCAATTAGCCATTGGCCACTGACTGTGAGGGGTTTGGGTGGGGAGTGGCATGCCAAACCATTTAGCCAAACACAGTTCTTCAAGGTGTAGCTGTGTGTTATTTAGCAGCAAGAACGTACAGCAGCTGTGCATGGGTGTGCACACCACCTAGACCGAGTGCTGGCTGCATTGCAGGGCATAGCACTAGGCACTATGGGTTAAAGACAAGAAAATACCTATTTCAGAAGATTTTGAGACTTTGGAAGGGAATATAGGGGAGATATGTAAGACCTCTGAAGTGCAAGTGGGGAGATCTGGTGACTTAGTCCTTAGAGAGTCACTCAGCTAACCCAAAGGCTTCACCTCTCTAAGGATTCAAATCATCTACCAGGGACTCCATCAGAGAAATGTGGGCAGTCTCCTCCCAGGCAATTTACAGTCTCAGAAACCCCGTGGAGAGTCAGCTCTGAGTTGGTTTCAACTCAGTGGCATTGAGTTTAAGTTTTTGAGGTGAGGTTCAATGAGAGATACTCAAAGCTTTCCACTTGGCAAGCAATCCAATGTCTTGTTACACCCCATCTTTGTTGATTCATGGTTCTTCAAATTTCCACATTTGACTTCTCCCACTGCTTCCCACTGCAGAACTTTCAGCAAAGTGACTACACTGGTGGTCCCCAAGACCACCCCCAGGCTTGATAAAGGCATTAGAAGGTCTCATAGGGCTCAGAAAAGCTGTTCTGCTCATAGCTGGAGTTGGTTACAGAGGAAAGAGACAGATCATAATCAGCAAAGTCCCAGAGAAACCAGGCACAAGCCCCCAGGTGTTCCCTCCAGTGCAGTCACATGTTGACCTTCCTGATACTCCCACCAAGGACACGTAGCAATATCTGCAAAGCCAACAAGGCAAGCTCACCAAAGCCATGGTGTCCGGGGGTTTTGTAGGGAATCAGTCTTGAGCTATGGAGTACTCACGTAACTGACTTCAGCTATTCACTCCCCAGTCCTTCTTCCCACTGCCCAATTCAGTCTGATAGAGAGTGGCCCAGGGCTTCTGGAAATCAGAAACACACTTATTAGACAGGAGGATATTCCAAAGGCTCAGAGTTCCTTCTCCAGGAGCCATTAAACGTTCAGACATGCTGAAGTCAGGCCTTTCAAGCAACCAGGGACCGCTAAGCTACTCCCTGATCATACAGTGATATCGAATCTATTTGTGTTTTCTTGTCATATTGTGGTGGTTTGTGTGTGGCTATGATGCCGGGCACTATGTCACTGCTGTCAAATGTCAGCAGGTATAGAGCAGAGCTTCCTGACTAACACAGTAAACTACTTCCAGAAATTAGCCTAGGAAAACACTTTGGGTCACCACAGAACATTGTCTAGTTACTAACAATCACAAAGATAATGCAAGATCAAGCAACACTTCATTGTGTTCTGCAAAAGGTCACCATGAATAGGGGCTGACCTGGCAACAACTAAAAACAATACAAGTCTAAAATTGTGGAAGAATGAATCTGACATGAGTGTCATAGCAAAACTGAGGCAACACAGCTATGAGTAGTCCTCAGTTTACAAAGGGATTCTTTCCAACATATCCATCATAAGTCAGATCTGATGTAAGTCCAATACTTTGTGTTTTTTTTTAATTGGTATCTATGGTGAAGAGATTGAGATTGTTCACAGCTTTCGTTTGCTTGGCTCCACAGTTAACACTCTTGGCACCAGCAGCCAGGAAACTAAAAGATGCATTGCCACGGGAAAGTCTGCTGTTAGGAACCTCCCCAAAGTACTGAAGAGCAATGGTGTCTCTCTGGAGACTAAAGTGCACCTGATACAGGCCATGGTTTTGCTATCACTTGTTATGCATTAGAGAGTTGGACAATGACTAAGGAGGATAGAAGGAGAATT